AACGACGCGCGCCGTTTAGCACGACTAGTGTAATACCGCGACAGCGCTCTTGTCATTCAACCTTTGGAAACTATTTTCTGTTACTTAAATAAACATCACTTCATACTGTGTTATTGTATGAAGATGCACTGAAAACCTTAGGTACAAATACGTCTTTCATTCAAGAATCGCATTAAGACTAACGATTCCGGAGCTTACTACTCACTACTTGTTACACTAAAGACAAGAAGGGACTTAGACACGCCGGACCCACTGCCGGGGGTCCCGCCGGACAACACTACACCCACAGTTAGTGCAACAACAAACACACTAGTACACAAGGTACACCCGCGTTCCAGGGCGGTTCTCACCGCCCCCAGCCACCGACTAGCTAATTGCACAGTCGACGGCCATCGGGGTTTCGGTCCGAACCACGACCTCGATGGCCCTTAGATGACACACCATAGTTAAACGCACGCATGAGCACATGCGTGGCCCTACCCACAGCGGAGGGCCCAAACCTATGGGTTCTGGCTAGCCCATCGGTTCTGCGTCAGATGAAGCTTTAATAGTCTCGGGACTGAAAGCAAAAACATCAGTTAATACAAGATACAAGATACTAAAGACAAGTAGTAACTGAACGCATGCGTCCACTCCATACATGCTAAAATGCTTCACACACCCTGTCGTCCCATCCAAACGCCTCCAAATACTGAAACCCACGAGGTGTAGTAAGGCTACCATTTTTTTTAATTAAAGAAAACAAACTTAACAAGCCTTTTCAAAGGCCTCTTTGGATATCATTTAAGTGACGTGTTATGCTATCATCAATTGATTAGAGGAATTAGTTTTCTTTAGTGCATACCCGTTCTGAAATTTCTGTGTACGCTACTGTATGGACCATTACCTACTTAATCTCATAAAGTATAACATACTAAAAAAACACGACATACTGACCGCAAATGCTTTTAAATGTGTTTAATACATAAAGCACTTTGCAAAATTTATAACTGATGACGTCCCCTTACATACTTACCCCTTAGAATAAAATACTTACGTGTTTTTAGAGCGTGAAGTCTGCACTTTTTACATAATTAACATTTGTGTATAACTTAGAGTTTACTCTATTACCGAGCAGATTATTTTTTAAATTAGTTTAGGAATATGTGGTATTGCTTTGTCGTGTTAGTATCGTGCCTGTTGTTTCTAGTACAATAAATTAAACAACAAATGGTCTACGCATTATTAGGGTCAAGAAAAATCGTGTAAATGGGCCTTTATATCGTCGTTTCTAATGAGTTTTATCTAATGATTATTACTATACAAATGAAACGGTTGAAATGTTGAAGAAACAATTTATGTAAAGAAATCAAGGCCAAGAATTTGTATTTTGTGTAATGAATTGATCACTTCTTACAATAGAGAATATATAATCGAGAGGAAAAAGAGCTTAAAATAGTTGTCTGTGACATAAAAACATACCAAACAATCTGTTTTGGAATCAATGAAGTGGTTGTTGCGTGGTTTCAAGAACTTTTTATAATTATTTTTTTAATTTATAATAATTATAATTATATTTAATTTATTATAATACTGCTGATATCTACGTCGTCCCTAGAATCTTCCCAAAATAACTTATGCATATTAGAAAGATATAAGACGAACGATATTTTTAGATCCGACAGAAACTCTCGCACATGGCATAATATAGTGTTATCGGTTAATATCAGACCAAACCAAAACTTTGCATATATGATATTATAAGTGTATTCTCGTAATAAATAGTTTTGCACCGTTGTTTTAAAAGGTTTCTCTTAATACAAACGCTTCACAAAACCATAACGACTATTAAAATTATCCAGCTTATTTAAGTAAAACAAATTGAGTTCCCGCGAAATCGGGAAAAACCAGACTCACTCATCCCAACTGAAATACACGTGACTGACTACATTTTAAACATAACAACCTCCTACGCTATAGTGAGTTAACCGTAGTCAGAAACTTTTCCAAATGAAAAATCACGAACACTCACTGGGATGCGTCATTCGTTACTGCGAAATACGAAGGCCGTTGACATTTGCGGGTGTTGAACGTTGACAATAAACATAGTAAACAATCGCTCACGATTGTTTACTTGGTGACACTGACATAAATAAAAAAAATATACGCGTATACTCACGTAAAAAGTTTACATCTTTACTTAGCGTAACAAAAGAAACAAAAAATGTATTCCCTGTGCAATGCAAACAACGGTTTAATTAACTGTTGTATTTATAAGTAAATGTCAACAAGTTAGTACAGGTTGCAAAGGGTAATACCGTGAATTTGGTCGAAGTTGCTCGCTCTGCAACCAACGTTATCATGTCGCTTTTTGGCTATCGGTGTCTTCCTTTGGCGTCTTCCTTCGGTATAACATCAAAAAGAGAAATAACGCAGCTGAAACGGTGTTGAGTGTGTGACTTAGATTCGATACTGCTAGTAGGTAAGTATATGAGATAAAGTAGGTTTATGAGATAAATATGGACTTCATACTATGGTTTAAGACTTAAAGTTTCGTTCAAAGTTCGAATAGAAAAAAGAAATGAAAACAGTTCTATCCAGATAAGGTTCAAGACTTAAAGAGTACAACTGTACTGTAATGTATTGTGTTTAAAAAAATATTGTGCTACTTTTTGTATAAGTAGTAACTTCCACAGCAATTTCTTAGGACGAACCAAATTGTTCAGAAGGCATTGTATCACCGCGTGCAACCTCAACGCGAGTTAATAGATAACCAGTGGGTAAATAATGATAATTGCTCTGAGTGTCCTAGACGTCTTTCGATTTTATCGTATACTATCGTACTTATCCTTTTTTCCTTACAAAAAAAAAACACGTAAATGAGACCGGTGGTCTTAATGTTCGAACGCACATTTAAATAGTGAAGCAAATAGAAATAAAATAATTGAACGCTTTATTTGGTTTAAACGGGTAAGCATACTCGTATGTTATAAGTGCAAAAACCGTTAACAGGTTTTATTGTGTCTGGGTTAATAAATTGTCCATCAGTAGAACTAAAGTTCGCATGTAAATAAACTCGACACGGCTTACGGAGAATAGTCGGAACTCGTGGACTTTTTAGTTCCTCTGTAGGCAAAGGTATTTTCCGGACCACTGGTGTGTATAATTTACATCATATTTACCTACCCGTTGATATATTCTATTTAAAACGAAACGTTAAGGAAATTAAATTTAATGTAGAGCATATTTATTAACATAACCTTTACGTCTACATATATAGTATAGTACGTAACAAATTGAAATATCACAAAACATAATGTGATTTCATATGTTTATATACGATAAATATGGTATTATCCTCACCTGTCCTCTCGTTTTAACTTTCCACATTGAACAGAACATGGCTTAGTATGTTGTGGACACTTACCAAATATTCAACGCCATAACCCAAATGTACGTCACGATCCAAAACCACAAGTTACGTGAAGCGCAACAATATGAAATATCTCCGACAAAAACGTCTCGACTAAGTGGTGGATGGAAAAAAACGAACGAATATAAATTCAATGGAAATTATAATAAACCTTCGTTCGCTTCACATTGTCCGTGGCCGGCGAGTGACTGACAAAAAATGGTTTGTATAATGCGTGTAAACAAAAAAACGTCGGTGGCCGCGCCTCCGGTGAGATAGCGCTGGTTATACGAAAAGATGGGGACCCACTAAGAGGTCCGTTTCTCAACGCGAACGTTAGAATAACACCCATTGCACAATGACAACGGCGTGGGGGTGAGGGGCGTAAAAAATCTTTAATATCGACTCTTTATGCCCGCGATAAAACATTGGCCTCCTGAATTGAGACATTTTATTATTAGAAATACGATTACGGTCATAAAAGTCGGCCCCCGAAGATATTGTTTCGGCTTCATAGACGGAACAATACGGTATGTATAAGAATAGAGACGAAATAATTTGGTCGCGAAGAGCGTTTAACGCTTTATTGTCTTTATTTGAAAATATCGCAAATAGCGGAAAGAAATTTTAGTATCTGAGTATTTCTAACAGTAAAGGTACATTTTATACTTAACTTTTAGGATGCTCATTAAGGTTGGTTTCTTATTCTGCCCACCCATATTTTGAGTTCGACCCAATGTCTACGACGTGTTTTTGAACCCTCTTGATGCGATCGAATCGGTCAATATTTAAAGATTAATATTATAAATCGGTCCATCGATCTCTCTAGTATTGACCTTAGGCGAAACGCCGGAGTTGATTTTGCAATTTAGCGGGTCTGAGAAACGTTCGGCTGTAGTGCGATCCTTGCGAATACATCGCGTATAATTCTGTTTAAATTGCTTAAACACATATACGCTGTGGGTTCATTGTTCTGTACAGATTATCAGATTATGAATTGTCAACCGTTTATTTTAAAATAACGGTTTTCTAACTTAATGCTATTGGGCTTACGCATTACGAGTTTTATCGTGTCATTTACGGCCATATTTCAAAACTGAAACCTTACAAAACACACGAAATAAGTTCAAACAAGTTCGTAAAATATTAATGAGTCAAATTGTTGTTTTAAAAAGTTTACATTGAAAGCCTTTACATTGAAATCGACTCAATATTTCGTAAACAATATTTGTTAACCTACTTTAAAATATAACAAAAAGTAAATTGAAAATTTAGGACAAATATCACATTTATTGAAATGAAAACTGGCTTAAAACAGCGCCAGTCTGCGAAAATAATTAAAAACAAATAAATATACGCGGCAAATATTCTAATATTTAAAAAAAATCGACGAAGGTTGCACCGTAATGAAGTCGATTGAAGACAGCGGGGCAATGTTACCAACATTGCCCGACAGATTTCGTGTCACATTTCGTGTCAGAGTATTGCGCCGCGACTCGCTTGAAGACAGTGTCGCCATTGCGATTGAGATTTCGTGTCACATTTCGTGTCAGAGGCACGTCGCGTCGGAGCGGGCGCGGCGAGCGTGGTGAGTCACGTTTTTTTTTCATCCGCGACACGGCGCGTTTCCCCGTCGCCCGCCGCGGCCGTGTGGCCGCGTGGCCGTGACATTTGTCGGCCGACCGATTGTGCGGCCTTCGCGCGCGGTCGTCAACTCCGCGCTGCTTGTGCGATACCTCGCGCGGAGCGGACCGCTCTCGACGTTCGCGAGCTGGCCGTTGCTACGCTCGCGCGGAATAGCTCTGCGCCGGCCCTGACGTAGTCGTGTCGCGGACGGCGACCGGAACAGATCGCGAGCTGCGCATTCAACGCGTATTAGCTCGGTGTTTAACTGACGCATCGGGTCGTGACGCGAGCATGTCACTGGCCTACGACGAGCGAATGCTTTGTTCAGAACGCGTAGTCTTAGCTGTACGAATCAAACAGAATCGACCCGAAGTCTTAACTCCGGCTGACACTTGTCAACAACGCTGTTGCAAAATTTTCAAAAACCCACTTCTAAATCTGCAATCCTGTCGATAAGCATTCTAAATTCATGTGAATTGAATGGAAACCAACTCAATACAAAATCTTTATGAATAATTAGAAATTAATTTAGAACAAATTTGTAAAAAGAATACATATCACAACTATGTTGCTCTAGTGACAAATGTTGTGTTCTATTTACTTAATAAAACCAACTCAAACCCTACACATCGCTATTTACAAAAGTTACGCGGTATTCAGAGCATTAGACCTCGAACTCTATAAACAGAGAAAATACGTATGACACCCCGGTAAGGACGTAATAACTATAGCGGAGTCACCAACTAGGAAATGCCCATAGTTGATATAGTCAAGGTTAATAGTGAAGGTGATTCGCATACACAGAAAATAGCTCTCATTGCTGTGCCACGTTCAAAGCAGGAACACATCACCACGAGATATGCCCCGTTTGACATTGCAAATTCGACCTCGCGCCGCCTTATGAAATGGCTAGGCGTAAAAACTGCATAAATATGTGGGTCAATAATTTAATTGGCAACCGTGCGTTCGTTTCGCAACGATTCCGCGACCTCGTGCAGTGGGCAGAGGCATGTGCCTCCTTCAAAACGCTAACGGACCTTAAGAATGGGGCATTTGATCGCCTGTTGCCAAATAAAAATCGGATTTTTGGCAACGCTCCGCAGATTTTCTACGCACACGGCGCGGGGGCCCGATAAAAGCAAAAGTTCATTCATGCTAAAAATGAATCTCCTCCGAGCGCGAGTGTTTTTACAAACAGGTGTCGCCGAAATGATGTAGAGACTGAAATTGGAAAGCGAAAACAAATTTCTCAATTTAGGCAGATTTGTGATAATTTTATACACATGAACTCTAAAGAGTTTTGCACAGTATAAAATTTACAGACGTTTACGGAATGCTAACCAAAAACTTGATCACGATTTTATATTACCAACAATGACTAGAAGATTTATGTGGCATTATGAAGTTACTTGGAATTTAATAAAGACGGTATAGCATTTTGCTATGAAAGTGAACGGTACTAATAAATACAGCAGCGGACAGTGTGTACGCAGTTGCAAAAAGTTAATCTTCACTAATAGGCACTTGTTCATAATCAGTATAACTATTTATCTATCAGTATTTTATATATTTTTGTATTTTATACTAGGGATAAATTTTGAAGAAACGATCGAGTGGCAAATAGGCTATTATAGTAATTAACTGGACGTTACAAGTTTTAATACAAACCAAGTTCAAAATGTACGAATTTACGCTTTTACAACTGCACAATAAAACAATTGTAAAGGATTTCGTTTGCAAATTTTTAGACTTGCGAATAGTAAGAATCTAATTGTCAAATAAAAAGTAGTATTTATCTGACATACAGAAATGATCAGGGTTTATCCTTGATATATTTGTTTGTAAGAGGCCCCTACAAAGAAGGATTATCTTATCCTACTGCAAGAGTAATATACGAAAAAGGATAAAAATAAGAAAACGAGAGCCATGAATCTGAACAGATCTGACGTAGGCATTGTACGATGCCATGGCTTTAGTTAAGATCAGACGTAGGGACTGTAAAGAATAGGCTTCGATATAACTACCCATAAAACGCAACCTACACCGCAAACTAGATTCTTTTGTCACTGCCATTTCTCGATTATAATACAAATTACACACGTTACTTCTTGATACAAAGAAAAACATTAATTCTAAAAATTAGTATGCCTTTGGCATACTAATTAATAGAACAACAGTTCAGTTCAGTTTTCTTTGTCATTACCAGCTCGGGCATCTGACAAAGGGCCGGTGACTAACTTCGGTCGAGTGATTCAGCCGAGTACTAAATCGGTGTGAACGAGGCACCGGCCTGAGCACACACTTGCGTGACGTTCCGCTCCCTGAACAAAGAAAAAAGGGACGTGGCTCCACGAGCGATGACTTTATACTACGACTATGAGAATTTCCGATTGTCCAGCTTAATTAGACGCGCCGCCCGACACTGGCCGTCTCGTTAAAACCAACGCGGAGGGGTCTAGGTTAATCGGTAGCAAAGTACGGCGAATCGGGAGGGGAAGGTGGGTAGGACAGAAAAAGGTCTGAGTCATTCAATAACAAGTACAGTTCCCATGTGCCTTAAATGATAGGCTTGTAGGACGTTTACACGCATGGGTGGATGAACTGTTAATTAAAACTACCGACACCCTAGACAACGAATGCTAGAACAGAATAATTTTAGAAAATCGAAGGAAAAAAAATCATAATCAAAGCCGCTCCACTCTAAATTTTAACGACCGCTTTTTTTTAATTCTTCGTAAAAATCTTAACTAACGTTTTTTTTTTCATAGTATCGTCATTAGGTAAAAGGTGTAATTTAGGTAAAAGGGTTACCGTGGTAGGGCCACGCAATAGTGTTCACTGTTGCACGAATGGGCAGGTCCGTCCGGGGAAGTACCACGCCCTTACAAAAGACCGGCACGAACGGATGCGTTATACTTCTTCGGTTCGTCTGGTGAGTGCGGTAGCCGGTGCCCATTTTATTAAAAGGTTGCAATCCTACGGGTGTTGCAAATGTTCATGGGCGGCGGTTATCACTTGACATCAGGTGAAACGACAGCTCGTTTGTCATCTTCTTACATAAAAAAAAATAAAAGGAGCATGCGTAGACTTACGCACGACAAAACACGTACGATAGTAGAAATCTGGACACTTAGTAGCCTGGGTGTGTTAGGCACCAGTATATGTAAGATAGCTTCAGTTGGACCGCTACTTAAAGAGTAACACGATTCACAGAAGACCAGCATCTTCACGCCCAATTTTCAAAAGGTTGTCAACGCATCTGGAACCCTTGGGTGTAGCAGATGTCCATGGGCAGCGGTATTCACTTAACATCAGGTGAACCGTCTGTAATCCGCCTGCAAACTACTTTAAAACAGAAGGCATCAGAGGCAAAGCTTTATTTTACGAGCAATCTTAATTCGCATTTTAATTAGTCGCAAACTAACCGTACCGCTGGGGTTGTGCGCGGTTAGAGCATATTCATTATTCAGAACTAGAGCTGTCCGAGCGGATTTATCATTTCCTTAACCGTTCCGCTCCTTGGGGACGGAGTCACATCTAGGATTGCGGGTGCAGTTAGCGAACAAGATTAATGAGTCAGCCCGTCCGTCCGTGCAGAATTAACGGTCGAACAAACGATCGAAGAGACACTTGGAGAGACATTCCTCAATTTCATCCCAGTTTTTAAACATATGACCAGACTCCGAGGAATACAAGGGAAAAATTAAATTATAAAATGGAACAAAAACCCAATATTTAATGTACTAACTATTTCACTATTATTATTTCAGGACGACCATTTTGTCACGATGATTTTAAGCTCTGACGAATCTAATGACATCTCATTCCTTTTAAACATTGCCCTTACTTAGGATAACATAATCCTGTGTTGTAAGGACGTTTTACAAACATAAATTTCACGCGGACAAACACCCAGATGCGAAACAACTATCTGTGGGTCACACAAATAGTTGTCCCGTGTGGGAATCGAACCCACGAACCTCCACGCCGAAGCTGTTGAAAACCGTGGTAAGGTTAAGGCTATAATGTGTCCAAAAATAGAAATACATTTATCGACAAACATACATACTATGCTCGAGAAACATTACCCTGCTTTGGCAGTCGAATAAGATAATACACAGTCGGCTACGCAAGACTAAGCTATTTTGTTCAATTTTACTCTTTTTTAATTTAAAACAGCAAGCGAGTTGGTGATTCATCTGAAGTGATAGCCGGTTGCAGATGCGTTGCCACCTTTTAATGAAGTGGGACCCGGTTACCTCACACGTCAGACTAAACGCAGAAGTATAACTGCCACTTCATGTCGGTCTTCTGTGAGGTCGCGGTACTTTCCCGGACCTGCCCATTCGTGCAACAGCGAAGACTATTGTGAGGACATCACAGTCTTTTTTTATTCTTTTTGAATATACGAGGTAGACGCATGACAATATCGATTTGTTAAACTATACTATTTTTCCAGTCTTGTTTTGCAGATGTAAAAGTAATTCCTGTTTAACTGGTGGTGTTTATACGAAAAAGTTGTGGTGTTCTAGAGTGTTTTTATACCTCAACAAATATTTCCAACGCCTTCCATTGTCCTGCGTCTGCAAATTTGTAGCGGTTACGACACATTACATATAAACGGACAGTTCAACTATGTGACATTGAAGAAAATGTCGCATATCTCCAAATGTTATATAGATACCTACTAACTTTTAAACTTGTCTACAAATTATTCACGCATTAATATACTCCGAATCGCAATGTTATTATAATAATCAACTTTCAGTTCAACATTCAATTCGGGCCCCCAACACAGTTAATGGTAAAACCACTCGACGAGTCAACGGAATGACTTGTTTTGACGGTCGCCATGGCAACGGTCAAGTTAACAACTGCGCACCCCAACGCATAGCGTAATTGAATGATTGCACTTAATTGTGGAACGTTCCAGGCCTTTTGTTGGGGGTCCGAGGATGTGGTCGAACCGTCGCACTCGGCAGTTGCGGCAAGGGGGGGAGGGGGTTTGTATAAAAAAAATGAAGAGAAAGTTAACACGCGTGGCAATGTGGACGTCAATCGAATATGGCCCTTATGTGTAATGTGCGTCAAGTCGACAGAAAAGCGTTTATGGATAGAGGGGACAAAAAATAGTTTTGAATAATCTATTCTAAAGTGGTGAGTACCTATTCGTTGATATTTTACATCTAAAACTAGGTACGGAAATATTTAAAATATATGAAGAAGCTATCCTAAAGGCACAGACCAGAAAATATCTAATAAAGTTCGCTAAAT